CGGTTGATTTAACTTGTCTGTAAAAAACCAAACTTTTAGCTAGTTATCCAGGTCTTCACACAGTCCTTGGCAAATTGCCAACACAATGCTTGTCGGTAAAGTGTCTTGTCGGTAAAGTGGGTGTCAGTAAGGTGTCCGGGTCCGCCTATAGTTATTATTATGCAATGTCCCGCGACTAATAAATTTATACAGACGGACACACAAGGACGCACAAAATTGCTATATAGTTCTTTTATAATTTATTATGGTAAAAAATTATTAATAATTAAAAAAAATATATAAAATTTTTTTTTCAAGATGTTAAGATTTTAGGTTGAATTACCAAATAAATAAATTCATTATAAAAAAAAGAATGCTTTGTGATTTGATAAACAAAAACACCACTATGATGAAAATCCAACAAATTTAGTCAAATTAACTGTTACAAATTAAAAATTAAAATTTGAATATATATATAACAGTCAATAAAAATGTGGACTTCTCTTTTTCTAACTTTTTATAGTTGAATCAATCCATTTAAACATAATGAAAATCTTTTTAATATTTTTAATATTGTTCAAATGCTTATTTTTAGTGGTGAATTCAGCACCAACTGACACAAGACTTGTACATGCCACTGTTATTGTTAACAATAATTTATATGTCATGGGTGGTTACACTAATACTAATGATCTGCCATCAAGAGAATTTTTTTCTCTTGATTTGTCACAAGCATTTGATGCAACAACTCCACCATGGAAGGATTTAACTGAGACTTCACCATTGCCAGTATTAATATCATGGGCTAAAGCTAGCTCCAACACAAATAATGATACAATATTTTTATTTGGTGGTGCTATGATTGATACTGTAACTGGTGATTATAATTTGAAAAATATGGTTTACACCTATGATTTTAAAGGCAACCAATGGTTAGCAAACCCACCTGCTTTTCAAGGAATGGCACCTAAAACACGTAAAGAATTTGCAAGTATTAGTGATCCATTGACTGGCAAATTATATATTCATGGTGGAACAAATTTGGAATCTGCTACTGATGTTTATTTTAAAGAATTTTTTATTCTGGATGGAAATAATTTATCCTGGAGTCAAATTGGAAAAACTGGTCCAAATATGCCACCTCCTAGAATTGATCATGCTACTGTATTAATTACTAATGGAGTGATTGTTTTTATTGGTGGAAGAGATTACTCTATTACTACAAAGTATTTAATTGGTGTTCCCATGAATAAGGTAATAATAAATAATAACTATAATGATTAATAAAAAATGTGTAGTTATTAATTTAATATTATTTTATTATTTTATTTAAAAAAAGCTTACATTATATGATACTAAAACTGACACTTGGGATTTAATGGTAATTATTAATTTAACAGGAGAAATTTATTTTAATTGGAAAATATATTAATCATTTTTTTGTATTGATCAGACTACAGTTGGTGGTCTAGATATTGATCCACGTACTGGTCATACAGCTGTATATGGTAAATAATAATAATTATTATTTTTTTGTTTCTTATCATCATTTAAAAAAATTTTTCATTTTATATATTTCTTAGCTGCTAATGGTCAAATAATAGTCTATGGAGGAACTACACCTGCATTAGAACTAACACCTACTCCTGAATTAGCTGTATTAGACACAACTATAAATCCTTTTAAATGGATCACACCTCCAGTAACAACACCAGAGGTTCCTATCAACCCACTCACAAACCATCAAGCAGACTTAATTGGAGATTATATGGTGATAACATTTGGTAAATAAATAAATTAATTAATAAAAATAACAATGATAATATATGTATGTGCACATATATATGTATCTTAAATCATTTATGTACCTTAGGTAATATAACAAATAATGCTGGGCCACCTCTTAAAGCAAGTAATTCAATTCAAATACTTAATATAGTTGATTACAAATGGGTAAAATCATTTCCTGGTCTATCTCCTAGCAGTAAAACATCACCAACAGCTTCACCAAATGTTCCACCACCATCAACATCAGCAACATCAGCAACATCAGCAACATCATCATCATCATCCTCATCATCATCAACATCAACATCAGACTCAGTGCTTAGTCCTACAACAATTCTAGCAATTGTGGTTTCAGTTGGTTTTGCTTTGATTATTGCTGCATTT